AGTATGCCACAACATATGTCATGTCTTCGATTCGCTTCAAATTTTGTATGGGTTCTACACATGAAATAAGCTAACACGTATTCGAGGATTTTTTTTCTTTTTTTTCTTCGGAGATATGATCTGTCAAAGTTCGAATTTTTTCGTGATTCTGACCATTCCTGATTTTCTTTAAATCGTTATATATCGGGCTCTACTCATCCTAGAGTACTTCATCTTAAGGTCGTTTTAAAGATAAAGAAACGGGTTTTCTAAATGATGGTTATGATTGTCCTAAAGTTAACTTAGCTATTAACAGTTGAACTTTTTTAAGTTGATTTGCATAGTAAAGACCATTAAATTTGGAATTTGAAATGACACCATCGTAATCCTTGTTTGATTCTCTATGATAAACATGTTCCAAAAGATGGAGCTTTCCAAGAACTATTTTGTGAGTCGACAATGAAGTCTCTACGATGAACATAACCCGAGATATAACAATTTTAGGAAGTACATGATTATTTAGTCAGAATCAGAAAAAACCCAAAATTTGACAGATCATACATCCGAAGAAAAAAGGAAAAATGTGAAGCCAATCGAAATTGCGACACCAAATTTGGTGTCCGATATGAAAAAGAATGCCCCATATATATGTTATATATATTATAACATAAAATAATAGTAGTGTTAGAATTGTGATAAATTATTTGATTATTTTTAGGGGTGCATTTTATAGTTCTTTTATGCCATTAATACCTGAATGTCGTTTTATTTTAATTTGGTCGTAAATTAAATTATTTCCAGGGTTTGATACCGGGATTTCGGGACTCAAAAAAGGGCTCGACACTCCCGGGATTCGGGATCCCGAATCTCAGTACTAGATGCCCTAGCACCTATACATATGAAAATACATACATACATACATGTTTGTACAAAATATTTTATGTAACTTCTAAAAATGATATTTGTGAAATGAAATTTAAAAGTTTATTTCTTACTTTGCTTTTGTACTGCTCCCTACTTGCTCCTTTGTGGAGAAGCTCGCTTTCAGTCCCGTTAGGTATGTACAAGTGCGCTTATTTAAGTACACAACTAAGAAATTTTAAATGTTTAGGTTCAAAATAAATTCATAAAAATATATCATGAACTTAATCCACAAAGGCCCTAACCAACACTTTTTTGAATCTGCGTTTTTCACGGATTTTAGAAGGATGTATTAAAATACACCTTCACTAAACATTTGAAAGTGTTAGT